TGCAGAGAATTGAAACAGAAACTGAAGAAGAAAGCAGTCTGCTGCTCTGAGAAGTAAACTAGCAGTCAGTCTGTCTGGGCTTATCTGCTGAAATGAAACTGTTTGTGTTTGTCTGTAACTCTCCTGCCTTGTGTTTACTTGGAAGAATCATCTGTTGGTATTGTTCATTTATTCATCTATTCTTACGTATATAAAGAAGTTAATGAATCCAGCTGTATCAGTTATCTGTGTGTGCTTCTGGATTTGAATGTAGGCAACAAACTCTGACAGAGGACATCATGGAACTGTAGGAATCACCAGTTAGGCAAAAAGTTCACCAGAATGGAGAAAGCAATACAGGATCAATTTTGGACGTCCCTTTACGTTCAGGAAACACAAGGAGTAATAAAGGAGAATATTGGTAGCTCAAGGTTGAAATCTGGGGGTCTGTGGTGCTCTCTACGCTCGGTGGTTTTCTGGCAGACGTTTCATTACCCCAAGTAGCAATAGGACTTAGATTTAAAAACACTTTACAGTGTTTTTACAGCCCTCTCTAAGCAGTTTTTACAGAGTCAGCCTCTTGCCCCCAACAATTTGGGTCCTCATTTTACCCACATCGGAAGGATGGAAGGCTGAGTCAACCTGCAGCCATTCAGGATCGAACTGTTGGCATTGGGCAGAGTTAGCCTGCAATACCACATCCTAACCACTGGGAGGGAGGAAGGAAAGAAGGAAGGGAAGGAAGATGGCAATAGTATTTAAGACTTATATATCGCTTCACAGTGCTTCACAGCCCTCTCTAAGTGGTTTACAGAGTCAGCCTATTCCCCCAACCCCATCCAACAATCTGGGTCCCCATTTTACCCACCTGAGAAGGATGGAAGGTTGAGTCAACCTGGATCCTGGTGAGATTCAAACTGCCAAATTGCAGGCAGCCGGCAGTCAGCAGAAGTAGCCTACAATACTGCATTTTAAGCACTGCACCACAGAAGCTCATAGGCTACATCAGCAGTATTAGACCAATGATGCTAGCGCCGGTGATGTTACCTGGTTTGGTTAATGAAATGTTTGCAAGAACCCCACCAAGCTCAGAAAGCATCTCAATACGAGGACTGGCAAGGAAAGGATGCTGAAGAGGCAAGGAGGAGGAGGAGGAGGAGCATACAGGGAATGTCCAAGGTAGAATTGTCCTGAAAAGCCTCCCTAACAGTTTCTCAGCACACACTGGCCGAGATGCCACCGCAACAGCGCCAACTCCCAACTTCTGCTGCCAACTGGATGCCGGAAGCAGGCTGTCAACCCTGAAGCTGGCCTGGGCAAAGCCATCTTGGAGCTTCAGTATTCCCACACTGGAGCGAGGGAGAGGGATGGATTAGAGATAGCTGGGCTTGTGCAGTCAAAATAAAAGACTTTCTCAAGACTTTCTCCTGGGAACCAAGGAGGTTGTCACACCTGGCGGAAAGGAAGAGGAGTGATGCCACCAGACCAGCGGACGCTGCAGTGATTGGGGCCATGTGACTGATTGTCTGGGGTTGAGGGAAAAACTTTTACTTTTAATTAGGTGAAAACCAAGGGGCCCTTTCAGAGTCGGTTTTCAACAGATACGTGCCAATATGGTATTTCCAATAAAGCTACCGTATTTTTGGGACTATAAGGCGCACCGGAGTATAAGACGCACCATGATTTCGAAGAGGTACATTAAAAAAAAAAAGTTTTTAAATTGTTCAAAGTTAGCGTAGCAAGAAGAAGCTAAGATCAATGTAGAGATGTTATTAACCCTTTTTTTTCTTTATTTCTTTTTTCTCAATATATTTTAGACTGTGTTTGCTAAAAATCTATC